CCACCAACACCGTTCAAAGCGGGCTGTTGCTGCTGCCGCTGCTGCTGCGGCTGCTGCTGCGACTGCCGGTACGACTGTATCTGCGACTGCTGTTGATACGGCTGCTGCTGTCGCATCTGCTGCTGCGGCTGTGGGTACGACTGTTGCACCTGCCGCTGCGGCTGTTGGTTCGGCTGTTGCATGTGTCGCTGCGGCTGTTGCGGCTGCCGGTATTGCTGCACCTGCAACTGCGGCTGTTGCTGTTGGACAACACCGCCCCCAGAGGACCAGTGTTGCCCGCGGCCGTCGCAGTTGTTGCCATTCCGCCGTTGGCCTCCGCCCCCCCCGCTCCCCCCGTTGCCGCCGTGTCCAAAACCACGGCCCACAACAAGAGCATGGGGGTTGACAGAAACCGCCGGCGTCAAAGCTGCCGACCCTCGCTCCCTCATCTCGCTGGCCTTGAGCGTGGCATATCGACCACGCACGACGTCCTGCAACTCAGCGCGGGTTAAATCACGCTTGGAAAGACTGGTGCGCTTCTCGACATCGAAGCGTGCGGGGAGTTGGCGCACAAGGATCTGCACAACTTCCTGCTCGCTCTTAGCGATGCCCGCAGCCCGTAACTTGGTCTCCAGTTGTGCGACGCGCGAGAAGAAAAGCTTGGGGTCCTCATCATCACTCATGGTTATATTTTCTAGCTCGGCGACGAGGAGCTGACAATCAGCTGGGTGGTTCGGCAAATACCAATCCTCCATCATCCTCCACGCCTCTGCCACGGAATGGCAAGAGTACAGGTTGTTCTCAAATGGGGCCCCCACCGCTGCCTCCAAGATAAAACTCCATGTCCTCTTGTGCTCAACAACCAGCTGTGCACCATACTGGCGTGTCAAGTATCCTTCATCCTGACAACTGACAACGGGAACCTCAGCACTGCCGAAGATTGTGTGCTGGAGATTGTGGTTGTCCACGTAGGCCAGAAAGCGTCTCCGCCAACTGAGAAAAGTGTCGGCGGTGCAATTAGGCGGGATTCTAGGCACAGGAGTTCTGACAATTGTACCTCCCAGAGGCAAGCCCGGCACCCCAGTACCGCCATCATGACTCACCCCGCCTAGCCACATTGGCCTCACCGGTGCAGATGAAGCCCCTCCAGGAGCAACTAGACCGTCGCCTCCTGAGCTGCTGCCGGCAGGTGCACCCGCAGACCGCCGCTGTGCTGCCCTAAGCTCCTCCGTCTCAGCTTTGGCCTCCTTCGTCTCAGCCTTGGCCTCCTCTATAGCTCGTAGCGCCTCATCCAACCTCGCGCTCAGAGTTGCGTCCTCCTCCGTTCCAGACATATCAAACTAAACCTCTAAACCCTCCCTGCTGTCCCAGCCTCGAAGTGCTGTCCCAGCTATAAACCCTGCTGTCCCGGTCCCCGCAATGGCCACCGCACCAGCTATGCACTGCTGTCCTCGCCCCCTTTGGCCGCGATCCCAGCTATGAAAATGGTGTCCGCTGCCCCGATGGCCCAGCTCCCACCGCTTAGACGCCAATACCCACTACCAACACCAGGCCTTACAATATATTGTGTTTGGGTGTGGTAGCTCGTCAGAGGCCGAAAGAGAAAGAAGGTTGACTCAAGACCTTGTTGCTTAGAGAGTGAGAGACATGCGGTAGGCCACACCATCGCCATGCAGCATGTCCGCCAATACATTCCATCCGCGTACCCCCCGGAGGCCCCGTAGACAGGATACTCTGCCGAGCACCCCAAACATACGGCAAAGCCTGCGTGTCTTTTACAAAGTTCGGAGGCTACAATCTCTGTATTGTTTGGCTGAGAGGCGTTCAGCGAAGTATCTGATTGAAATTCCGGCCACGATCCGTTTGTTCTCTTGCGCGTGGGGTTCATTGTACTGCTGCAATGACAAGGTTGAGTACTATGATTTGGTGGCATTCCGTGAACCAGCCTGTACGAGCGTTTCTCCTGTTTCTAGGCTCCACCAGCAACGTACCATAGCCTATGTCCCTTGTGGTACCAACCCTTGGTACTAACTTTTGGTACCAGGCGCCAGGCGTCGTACCGATTTCATGGCTTATGGTTGGCTGCACGATCGCCCAAAGGTGTTAAACAACACACGAAGAGCTCAAGGACCACTTTCGGGAGATGAGGAGCATTTTTTCTGTGTGAAATAAGCGTTTATTTTGAAAGGCCGACATTCGCCATCTCGTCTTCTGACACCCCTTCGATGATGTGCCGGCTTCGAATATTGCGCCAAAGCAAAGCTGCAACAACGAATTTTCCTTGTGGCGGAGCTTTTCCCTAACCATGATGTGTTTCACTACACGCATTTCCCGTCATACCATCCGTGACTACGGCCGACCACCGAAGTATTTTAGCAGGGAATAGTGCGTGGTGCCCTGGTGTCCCACTCTTTCGCGGTTTCCTTTCTCCTCCACGCGTTCGCCAACGTCAAATGATGCAGGTGGTAACACAGGCGGCACACAAAGACACCGCCAAGATTAACCTCTTGCAGACAGCAAGGGGGCACTCGACTCTTCAACACGCCTCTGAGCCCAGGGGTTCTATCAACCCTGACCGTTCTCTCGTCGAAGCGAGCAGCGCCCAGCACGTCGGCAGTTTTGCCGCCAAGCGGGTCATGTGGCTTTGCAGGACACGGCCGAGCTTGGTGGTTACCTATACCTTCGCATCGACACATTTGGGATCAGGATTGAAGTATTGATTATTTGGTACGACAGACGGTTGCAGACCGGGACGACAGACACTGGCGCGGAGGAACTGTACACCGTTGGCGTGACGCCAGTCATCACTGACCCCGTCAACGGCGAGATCACGCTTCCTGAGCAGGTCGTTAGCGTCAATGGAGACCAAGTGGCGTACGTGTCCGTTCCCCTTACGAGCGATCAGCTCAACGCCGACCACACGGTCTCTGCGACGAATGCACGTTCAGCTATGTCGCCGGGGAATGCCTTTCGGGGGACTGTGAGCTGCACGACCAGGATAGTACGAACGCCATCCATGAAGTATTTCGGAGGTGAGTGATGATGGACGGATGTCTTGTTTTATGATGAAAGCAAACCCACGTTTGGGTAACCAAAACAAAATGTCTCACCCAAACTCGAAGATTTCTCACCATGCTCATGGGCGCACATACCGTTGCAATCGCGGGTTGTGAGTATATCGTGGCGAATGCGATTCTCAATGGAGCCTAGCCTGTCATGTGAAACGGTATATTGATTGATCCTGGTAAGCATCGACCTCGCCATTCCAATGATGATGCAGCAAATTCAGCGTCAGTTGTCCTCGAAGGTGAGCAGATTTCGATCAATCAACGCATTGTTATCCTTGTGATAGGAGACTTGTTATGTTTCTCGGAATAGTGGGGCACCGACACCGATCGCCCAGCTGGTTCAGTTGGTAGCCTCCACACCATCTGACTCTTGAAGATGCGGGTTCGATCTTTGTGAAGTGGAACAGGCAATTTAGGCGTCGAATGCACCCAGCTGTGAGTAGCGTTCAGGTCGCCCCATGCATCAAAGGCTCCTAAGGGGGAAGGTGGAGAGATCAAGAATCGAAGTGAAACGCCCCAAACCTCTAGTCTTCACCATATTCCTGATGGGTCCCGGGTGGTGCGTTACGGGATGGAAGGCAATCTCCTTCTGACGCTGGCTCAGTAATTATACCGGGCGGAGGGTGAATGACGATACCGACACGTACTGTTTTCAATCAGTAAAGGGCACGTTCAGGTTTGCTCCCGGAGCTGACATACGGATGGTCTCAACACTGTCTGAAAAATGTCCGTGGGCTGCACCGGGACCCAACATTTGTCACAGCCGTGCTAACCCTAAGCCACGGACCATGCTCATCGCCACGGGGCGTTCAACCCTGAGCGGTGGGTCGTCAGTAGTACTAGTCACTGGCTGTCGGTCTAATTTGTGCAGATTGTAGGCCGGTACCCTTGATATCACCACTTCTGAAGCAGATTTGAGCGCCCCAATATACCCCCCCCGCTGCTGAGGTGCCCTCTAGTGATATCAGTAGAATACATAAAACCTAAACAATGCAAAGCTGACTAATATTTCAGCGCCGGCCTTTCTGGCCGTTCTGGCTCTTTTGACTCGAATTTGACCTGGTTTGAATTATCATCTAAATAGATTTCACGAGGGGCGTGTGCGTCAGTAGACGCATGATACACAACGCATGTTTTTAGCATCCTCTACTGCGGCCCTGTGCGAGAATCAACGATTTCTGCTGCTTTTCCCGATGCCTTCCGCCAGGTCTTGTGTGCCTCATATGCATTTCCTGGTGCTCTTGCGATATTTTTCAAAATATCTCAACATCACAAGATAGGTTGTCTATCCTCTACACGATGTAATGGGACGCGCGCGCATACAGATGTCACGAACCGCCCTACCACCAGATGTTGTGTTAACACATTTTGGGGTGGGAGACGTTCTGTCCTACAATAATTGGTTGATGGCGGCCAACCGTAAACAAGTTCTTCCCTTGTCCTTCCCGTTCCTCGCCACTCTACCCCCTTTCAGGTAATGAGCGACGACCCTCAGGTGAGCGGAGACTCTCATATGGTGGGCCTCCTCGGGCAAGAGATCGACTGGTACGGCGAGGACAGCGGGTGGTACTGCCTTCTCGTCAACTCCGAGTTCCAGGTCAACGCGCGCGTGACCGCTCCTATGCCTGACGAATTCCCTACCCGGCAGCTCGTCTCTGGCGTGAGCATCAGGTCAGCCGAAGGCCCTTCTCTGGTGGTTGAGGTGAAGAATCCGATCACCACCGAGACGGAGGGATGCTCTTCTACTTCCGCTCCTTGTCTGGCGGAAGGAGCCCTTCGTATCCTCGTCGACGGCGACGAGTCCCACGCGCTCCAAAGCCCCGTCGAGAACCTCGTTCTCCCGGGCGGCGATTTGGTGGTCTCCTCCGCCAACCTTCCGGCGGAGTGCCGGCCCTTCGGGGGCGACCGTATCTGGGCCGCCCAGTTCGCTGCGATGAACGACGCCAGTGGCCGCCGTTCGCTACGCGGTCACACCCCCTTCGCAGACTGGGTGCTCGAAGCGGACACCATGGCCGCCCCAGGTTGGTGCGCGCTGTTTGCACGCGAGCAACGGTTGAGCGGATTGTCCAGCGTGCAGTCCAACCGCGCCATCCTGCGCGTCGAGACCGGCGGTGTCACCGTCAGGGTTGATGTCGGCGTCAACTACCAGGACTCCGTGCTCAGCTCTGACGGCAACGCGGTACTGGTGCCCGAGCTTGATTTCTGGCAGACCGACATTGCCTTCGAAGAACTACGGCCTTCCGGCGAGCTCGGGGGGATGCTGGGTGACACCGCCCGCTACGTCATTGACGACGACGGAAAGCCCATTACCAGCGGTATGGAGGCGCTGCGCGGCCCGGTGGAGACGTGCCGCGTGTCTGGCCCCCTCGGTGTCGACTTTGAACAGATGCATGGTGCTGTGGAGCAAGGGAACGTCTTTGCTTGATCACGGCGTATGCGTGCTGTTGACATGCTTGTTTGTTGAGGAGGCAAGAGGGATTGGCATTCACTGCGCGTTGAGCTCAGGGAATCACATATTTTTGCATCTGAAAGCATGTATTGTGGAGAACGACGTAATATTCTCCGTTGTATGCATAGATCTGAATGGAGGAGGGAGCTGTGTCATCCTGCTGACGGAGTACGTGTGTTGGGTTACCTTTCGGGGGGAGTTGTATCACGATACTGACACAAGCTCCACACTATTCGAGGGTTCAACAATACGGTCACATCTGAGCGAGAGAAGGCTACTGCTGTAGAGAAAGCAACGACTACCTATGGTTGACAGGCGCAAGCAAGAACTTGCCTGTTGTAGGTCTTTCTCCGTGAGTTGCCGCCGCTCGTAGGCGGAAATGATCACAAGTAGCTGGACCACTCGTCGAAAAACAGAATGTAGCGAGTCAGTCGTCTCATTTTCGGGCTCAGATAGAAGCCGCTGCGCTTCCAAGTATAACGCATTTACAAAGTGTAGTCTAGGTAGCGGGGTGGTGGTGCCGAGAAGACGTACTCTGTGCTTGAGGCTGTCCTTTACGAATATTTTATTTGTCAGCAGGACTTTCAAGAGGGGCGGGCACGGCCAGGGGAAACCCCGCTTTGAAAATTGTATCGATTCAGATGTCGTCAACGAGGCAAACGGTCGGCGGTTTGTTTCTGGGGTGATCAATAATGTAGGCTTGTGTTGGCATTAACTGACCCCGCGGCGCACTACGTTTTTGGGTTCGTCATGTCGTGGAAGTTACCGTTCGTTCGGCGGTGGTAGAGTATATACTTGGGGGCATTCGCCACGCACGAAACAGGTAGCTCGATTGCAACGGCACATGAGGCCTCTGTCGAACAGACGATATGCCTCCACATTGAAAATTCTCTCGCTCTGACAGGCCAGCTGAATGGCCAACGTGCAGAACTGTCATGCAACGTATGCTACAATCTCAGAGCCCTCCCCTTGCTTGTGGCTTTTTTCTGATGTCAGGATAGCTCTAGGTGTCGTACCAAAATTACCCGATACCCGGCGATACAACATGGCCTGTGCGTTCTGTCAGTGTAGCGATGACCTTCGCCCTCAGCGCTTGAATTTGTGCGTGTAGCATGGCGAGTAACGCTCGAATTTCCAACAAACGACCCCATCTTTTGTTTACACACAGCTACATATTGCATGATGGGCGCCCTGAGTAGGAGCGGTTCATCTTCTGTAGCGCCAAAGCCGATGATATCAATGGCCAACTGGCATTGTGCAGCAAGAACACACAATCCCCCCTCCCCCCCGACTTCTCCCCCCTTCTCGCGCTATCTAGTGCATGTGTGATCTCTTGGGTAACGTTGTACGTTGACAGATGACATCCCTAGGGATAGAGCGAGCTCTTTTGAAGGTTAAGTGCCTCGTGGTCGGTAGGGCATCGGTGATCTTTCTATGATGGCTAGATGGTGGTCGCAAGGACTACATGTATGTTGTCGACTATGTAGTCTGAGGCGATCTGTAGAGCATAGGCGAATGTTGTATTTTTTCCCTGTGTGTGATCCATAGTGGCATGCAGGACAGGTTTAGTTGGGCTAGCTCATCATCTGTCCTACAAATGTGTATAAACATTGACCTTTGCTGGGTATTCCGAACGACGGAATTCCGTTACCTTCGAATTGTCTGAAAGCCTGACAATTTGTTGACTCAAGTTTAGCATGTTTACCCCTGAGCGCGTGACGAGGGGGTCTTGGATGTTATTGGGTCATACCGAGCAGGTGGGGATATTTGTTTCAGGGTACTCGACAGAATATTTATCTTTGGGACCTTTCGGGGCAAATCGGGGCGGGGGGGGGGNGGGGGGGGGGGGGGGGGGTACAGTACGGGGATGATACTGTATTGGTACTGTACGATACGTGGCGAGCGAGGTACTTCCTGCCTCGCCCACGTCTCGCACTCTTAGGGTTAGTTCGATGTCAATCGATGTCACTCACAGCAGTACCCGTTATTCTTTGATAGGGGTCTTTCGCTTTTGGTCTCTAACCAAGCTGCTTTACGCACCAAACGTTGCACGACTTGAACCCGTACAGTGCCAAAGAAAGGCACTCTTTAATTCTGGTGTCGCTATCGTGTGAGGGCCCACGACTGGCGCCACGGCGAAACAGAAAGACAAGCCCCTGTGTTCGTCGACTGTTCCGATCCGTTCATTTTGCTTACTGTGGTTATACCCATCCACCGGCTGATCCTTCCGCCTAAGTAGAAAGACTTCAACACTGATAGCGCCCGCACTGAAGAACCGCTTATTTTGGCCGAGGATCGATGCATATTGGCAGCCTCAAATTGAGCATCTATTCTTATTTTAAAGCACCTATTCTTATTTTAAAGTTCAGATATATTTCGAGCAGGCATATCCGTATGATAAAAGAGGTTCTTGTTTTTACGCCGAGGGCCCCATTCAGAGGACACGGATTTGTTTCTCTGGGTGGATTCAATCCGACACTTGAGAGCAGCGTGTTCATAGAAAAACAGGGTATAGACTAATAAAACGTCGCTCAACAGAGACCTCTGGACCCGACGTACCGCAGCTTCCGCGATCACCAAAGGGTAGAAACACAGACGCGGCATCGCCTGACATAATGACGCATCTGAGCAAACGTTGAACCATTTAGAGGTCCATAAGGTTAGATTCGGCGTGGTTGTCCTCCCCGCTCTACTAACGCCCGTCGTAGCTACATTGTGACCTTCACCCTGCTCTTCGATGGCCGGACCTCCTCCCTGCTCTGCGTCACTCCCCTCAAGCGAAGCCCACGACCCTAGACCACCGCACCCGCATATCCATTGTACTTGTCCAACGGCAATTTCATATGGCGCATACTTCGGTTTAGGTCGAAATGCACACGGTAGTCGTAAAGGTGGCGGGTAGGCTCCTGAGACTGCCGAGTGATCAGCGAGCCTAACCAGCCCATGCTCAGTTCAACGAGTACTCCACGCTGCAGCAACGAACTGTCAAGAGCAACGAGTTTAGACGCTTGCATTCGGAAACCGGTGGGTGCGAAGAAGGAAGAGGTATCGATATGCATTCCTCGCCCCGGCGTCGACTCGATGACTTCCCAATCTGACTTCGTGTGGGCAGTTGCCAGCAATGACATGTTCTTTGATGGCCTCGAAGTAAGTGTCGATCAAGAATGACACCTCTTCCTTTCAACTTTGACAGTTGGCTGAGCTCCTTCTTCAATGTTTCAAGGGGTAAAGACATGACTCTCGTGCATGGATGGCACGCAGCGTGGCAGGCACCCCAATGTTACGCGACAGGGGTATCCTTGCACAACAACGCTAAGCACCTAACCCACTCCCTCCCTCCGCACCGACCAAGGTAAATGAACACCGGGTTCATGTAGTTCTGTTGCGGCATCTATCTGTTGTACAAGAAGGAGAGGAAACTGTACATGACTAAGCTGGGGGGAAAATATGCGAGGAAAATAAAGGGAGATGTTTGAGGCATGGAATATCCAGGAGAAGGCGGTAGCTGTACCGGGGCAAGAGGCGGGAAGTGATATCGATAGGATCGATAGGCTTGGGAAAACACTTTTGAGACACCTTTGGCGAAGTAGGAAGGAACGATTGGCCATCGGTGATCGGTCCGGAACAATGCTCCGTCCTCTCGAGGACGCGTGGTTAATGGCCTAACCGCTAAGATATGTACAAAATAAGAGTACTCCCCCCCCCTGCGCGCCAGTATTATTTGAAACGGAGCCCTTCTCGTCGCTGATCTGAAACTGCCGGTGATTCGGGTCACCGGACACCCCGTGGGTCAGCACTACCGACCTTCAGAGTTACTATCTTGCAGCTGCCCCGTGTTGGGGGTCTGTTCTTATCTATAATCTGTATGCGAGTTTTTACACCACAGAAGCGGGTTCTTGTTTTTAATGCATCGGAACTGAGCACGTGCTTTTATGACCAAGTTTGTAAATTTTGAATTTTCGGGGCTTCATGTTTAGACTGGTCTAACTGCTAAGTTCGTAAGCGCGAGCGCCATCTGCACTTGTGAAGGTGAAGAGAAGTACTGCGTACATTTACAAAGAACAAGAAGGAATGGCGCAGACGAACGAACGAGAGATAGATGAAGCCATGTAACGTAGTGGGGACTCGACATGTCGGATCTAGAGAGTAAATCCAATGCACAGAGGGTAAAGGTTCTAAATAGCACAGGAGCAGATGACGCGAAAACCGGAACAGCTACGCGGTGGTGTCGAGTCGTCTCCTTGTCTTGTGCTTCCTAGCCGGAGGATGAAACCCTGTCGTTCAGCACTTTGTAGGAGATAGTATTCATTCATTGTCAACATCTGGACGCTCACAATTGACGGAACACACACAAAGTGATAAAGCCTGAAGTCTTTCGTTGATCAGCCGGTAAGCGCGGTCGATGCTCACAGTTAGCAGAACCCACACACCACATAATCGACTTCGTAAGTCGCGAGGGAAGGGATTGCTGTACCCTTGTCGCGATAAAAATACCTCAGGCAGGAACCGCAGGAGGGGGTCCAGCCCCCCCGTCCTATGTGACCCCGGTTGGGTCGTCTAGCTGGCAGAAGTGGAGGATAGAGGCCAGAGGGGCAGACGACAGAGTCCAATCATCGGAGAAAAAAAAAAAAAACGGCTCCAACACTCATTGTCGGCAGAATTAACCTTCGGAGCATTTTTTTCAAACCGCTCTCAGGTCCGGGATCTCTACAGCAGTACTACGCATATTTCTAGACTATCATGTCCCCCTCTCGACCAGACTGGTCAAATGGAAAGAGCGGCGGTAGATATAAGGAATACAATATGTTTACCGGGTCCTGCCCCCCACGGAAGGTTGTCGGCGTGCCGCGTGCGGTTGATTCTTCAGAACCCGAGCGCGGCGAGACCAGTTCCTCTTCGGGCCCGTCAGCCCCCGGCGTGTCTTTTTTTTTCTCTTTGCTGTGTCATCAAACCACATCAACCTCACCCTACGATACACAACTACTCTAAGCCTCTTGATTCTGAAGCACTGCCCCCCAACCGCAGCAGAACACCCACGCACCGTTAACTCCCCCGGTAAGCATAAGCCCAGCTATCCCGTCAAGTTCCTGCGTCATCACAACAACACGGCCACGAGAAGAGCGCTTCTCAAAAACGGCGACGTCGAAAAGGTCAGCAACGGACATCAGCAAGCACAGCAGATCTCCCTCAGTCGCTTAACACCATGGCTTCTCCGGGTAAGGCCGCGGCTCCTTGGGCCGTAAAGCTCGTCCACGACGGGAAAGAGCAAGGGGTTCCCGCCGAGAAAATTCGCCAGAAGCTGGTGCTCGAGGGCTTGGAGCCCGACCTCATCGACGGTGTGGTTGAAGCTGGCTCCTTGTCGGCGAAGCTGCACACAATTGAACCGAGCTCACCGTGCACCTCGCCTCAGCGCCGACAGCTGTCCGCAAGGTGTGGAGACGTCGCGCCTAGGTACTCGGTATTCGAAGAGAAGCGAGAGTGAGCCTTGTCGAAAACCGAAACTTCGTCGGATGTTGAAAAATGCGCTACGACCTCAGACGACCTTTTGGTGTGTAGAGCTTGTGCGCACAACGTACCACACTCGTATTTTTTGACAACCGAACCCCGTGAATGATGTTCGTCCGCCCATAGGAAATTCCATGACATGCTCTCGGTTGGTCTACCTCCTGCGGTTGTGCGGCAGAAGATGGCAATGGTGAGAGAGAGAGAGAGAGAGAGAGAGAGAGAGAGAGAGAGAGAGAGAGAGAGGCCACTACAGCAGTATCGCATTTCAGCATTACAGCAGCCCACCTGCAACGTGTGTTTTTTTTCCTGTAGAGTACCGAAGTACGTTCAATGTTGCCCCTCCTTGCGAATCATCCGTGCGTTGGTTTAACCTGGGTTTGTGTCGAAAGTACTATCAATGCCCCGTCTGTTGCCCTTCCTATGCAGTAAAGATCGAAGGCAAAGTACCGCAGGAGGGGAGGGTAGAGAGGGGCTCTTCTGTGTGACCACGGGCTGGAGTAAACGGCACATTGCTGTGAGCGCTGATTGGAAGTGAACAAAAAAAAAAACGTATCATCCGTGCGTTGGTTGACCTTGGTGTGTGTCTCTGGCGATTGTGCGCACCGTCGTACGTTAGGTGTCCCATTCACGCCCCCCTCCTTACAATATCTCCATCCTGTCGAGGACGCGTGGTCAATGGTCTAAGCGCCAAAGCATGCATAAGAGTAAGAGTACCACCCCCCC